TGTAATTCCTATTCAGCAATAGTAGTAGTGATTTTTATATCGGCAGGGCCCCGCAAGTATTGTATAGGCCATATCGCATTCAATAAGCCACTACGACCATGGATGGAAGGAGAATGCGCGTCGCATCCAGCAAAAGCGACGACGGAAGCTTTGCCCTTTTATGTAATGTAATATAACGCAATTCTACAGGGGGGCCAAAAAAAGTCACTTTTCTTCATTGACTTTCGAGGCGCTATAAGTTACACTTTATTGAATTCTGATCGGACATTTCTACCACCATATTAAAGAGCATATCAAATACTATCATGACACTCCGCCACAGCCTTCTGGACGAGCGCCATCGAGAGATTCTGGCACGCGACCGCGATGTGGTGCCTGAGATCAGCGAGATAGTCGATTTCTCCGCCACCGTAGACCACCCTATTGAACTCCGCCCGAACCGGGTAATTGAGGGGATTCAGGTCAGGTGACCTACTTGGATATTCCATCTTCTTTAGGTACTCAGCCCCCTTCCATTCCAGGTAGGAGAGTTTCTCCAACGCCCTTCGATTCCACGTGGTGGCACCCAATGCTGTAGCAGTACAAAGTTTCCAAGAAGGTACGGGCGACGACATGTGAGGAGGATATTCTTCACGAGTTGCTCAATGTAACCGCCAGCGCTCACCTTCAGTCCGGGGTCCACGAAGAAAATATTGGTCTTTCCATTCCAGGTACGTCCGGTCCATACCATCAACCCGCGCCTTGGCGACTGTGGTGAAGATGATGTCCTAGACCGTGGCGACGTTGTCGGAGCTGCTCGATGTTGGAGGTCTTCCAGATTGAGAGTACTGGTCTCAGGTAGCTACCCAGGTGACTCCACACTAGAAGTTTCGCAGATCAGTCAGGCTGCGACTGGAGATGACTTCATATTTTGGTGTACATGAAGGTGATGGGCGAGAGCCAGCTCCTGCTTATAGAGGAACATCTTGGGTATCTTCCGCCCTGGTACTCGTATCCACGTCCTCTGTCTGGGCTGCGAAAACTTTGCTGATATGTGACTCGGTCGAAGTGACTTTTTTTTGCCCCCCCCCTGTATATTATGTGGTATTATATTATTTTAATTGGCACATTAGTATGTTTACTAATGTGGTTAATGGTAATTAACAGAACAGTCAATATAAATAATATTATTTCATATAATAATATAGTACATTCAACATAAAGATATCACATGTTGGTTACAATAATGAAAAGACAGTACAGTTATAGCGAGTACCAATAAACGCAAAAAAATGTGCAAAAGTTATAAAGGTGAGAGAAGTTATGGAAAACCTCACCACGGTCCCGTTAAAGATCTCCGTTTTGTATTGAAAATCGCATAGGACAAGGGCGAAGTGGTAGGGTGACATTACCATTGACGGCGGAAAGTAATCAGTCATAAAATACTCGTCACTGAAAATACTTTTAAATTCCACGAAGTTGTAACCATTATCAATTTTGCATTCTAACCTTTGAATTGAACGTTTGATGACGAAATTCGAAAGAGTTCGCAGGGATATTTTACGTTTGACGGTAATGTTGTATTCAGCAGGAAATTCATTTGAATCCATACAGGGGAATAAATAGCGCAAACCTTTGCCATTACGTTGAATTGTAGCGAACCAAACGCCATACCTGAAATTTTAGGACCTTGTAGGACCAAAGCCATGAATTAGATTGAAATGGTACCATCAATTTTTCAAGAACTGTGCGTTATTTTGCTGTCATAACGAGAGTGACAGTCTCAAGATCGTGGCAGAATATTACAATTTTTGAAAGAGGTTGTAAGTATTACTCAGGTTGTCTGAATGCCGATAATGAAAAAGTTCTCTTATAAAACCGGTTTTTGGTGGATATGTTTGGAATGCGCCAAACACTTAACTCTGGACTGAAAGTGCGTGAACAAATAATAGCTGATGTGAAATTAACAGGACCCACATTCCACGTCTGCAAGAGGTCAAGGGCCTGGCTGCGGGCTTCATCTGAATGTTCTTAGAAAGCGTTTTTCATAAACTTCCAGGTGAAACAGCTGTCATTCTGTCTGGTGCTAAACGAAGTACATGATTGCAATTGTTTATGTAATATCCCAACAGGCGTCATGTACGAATGAAGCACGCAAACACGCCCCTTCCATTCCTCGGATATCGACTATACGTGGCAGAGTCTATGTCCACGCCCGTAACTTTAGCATCCCAGGCAAATAAACAGGTATTCAGCAATTAATCGCCCTGTGAAGGATGCAGGGATCAACGTTCTTGGCGGAGGTCCTTCCCGGATCTCTCCCCCACAACGTGATGGTGGTATGCGGCACCACCTACCCTGTACCCCTTCGCCTCTTTTTTAGCTAACGAGCTCAGCAGTGTCTAACTTATTATGATGTGTTAATACAGTACGATAATAAATTCAAGACCTCTGTTGGCCACTGTTTGAGGTGTACGCGAATTCCTTCGGCCCATCCTCAGCCGTTATTTTTCCCGTGAACTTCATTGTAAACAGGTATTGAGCATCGGTTGTGGTGTCAAAAGACAGTATAAAAGTTTGGATCTCCGACTGAAAAATGCGTATCGTTTTTTGTGGAAAGAACATAAAGGAGTGAAGCAGCTATACTCACAGCAGCGTTATACGTTCCCTTCTTTACTGCTCTTTTTTCATTCGATTGACCGATGGCCGTTAAGCTGAAGTCGGTTATCCGTAGATGTTTGCCTCTGTGAAGGAAAAGGCGTTGTGACTCATGACGGCTGTTGAAGAGCAAGGCAACTTGCCCATGAAACGACTGAAATGAGTACCACTACAAAAAGAGCGTCGTGACGTTATAGTCTTGTTCGCTGCGAATGTTGGGCGTGTCAGGGGGCTAGGTTTGGCGTGAAGCCAGAGCGTTTCCCACCAATGTTGCCGTTCCGAAGCCGCGCCGAACCCAGCACACGCCCCGGCATCTGCAACGAGCAACTGTACTGTAACTAGTGAAGCACCGTTTTTCAAATCGGATGCTCTGTCCTCCACGACCATCGTTTTCCATCAATTTGTCATAATTTTGCTAATGTGGATTTTTCTATGATTTTCTTGTCGCTTTCGTTGTCCTGCGGTGCCTTTTTTAGCTGTCCAGGGGTCGGGCAAGAGAATCGCAATGCGCCTACGCCAGTGGGCGTCGCGTGCGACGTCGCGCCCGCTAATGACGACGATTTCAGGTGGTATTGGTCGAGAATAGACAATGTATGACCAAAATAGACCTAAATGAGTGTCTATGATGGCCCTGCTTACGTGAAATCCGATGCTTTGATCCAAAGGGGACTCCACTCATTGCCGTGCGCGACAGGGCGACGATTTACGGTTCTCTTGCTCATCCCCCGTCCTTGAGTTAGTGAAAAACCGAGAAAGTTGGAAATCGGAAAGTGTTCTCCTAGCAGCTTTCCCTGTTAGTCATTTCACTCGTAGAGACTAGTTGCACCGTGTCTGTCTGTCTGTCTGTCTGTGCTAGAATCCGAAGTTTGAGCGCCAAAGTCTACATGATTCAAAGGCGGCTAGACGCCTACGGGATACTCGTCCGAAATGAGTCATAAAGAACGAAGGCTTTTCTTCGCAGGTTTTTGACCGTTTCACTTCGTTTTTTCGCCATTTTCCCCACTACATAGCACCCTGCTAGCATTTTAGACCAGTACCAAATTATCGAGTCGTAGGCCTTTGAAAGAAGCAAGGAGCCGTCAGAATATTCTAGCGGATCCTACTTCCATTTTTTTCCTTTCTGGCATTTGCACTATGCAGAGTACCCTTTACTGTCTATGCCAACTTTCCACTTCACTTCAAATGATTGATATAATTCATCATATGTACTTTTTAAAATACCTACCGTATTTGATCGATTATATTCGGTATTGAACTGCAACTGAACATCGTAACGGCGAGGTACGTTAGTATAAGGAATAGATTGGGGGCCGAGCTCTTCGGGAAGAATATTTTTGTTGAGCAGTGAAACGAATGCAATCACAGAGAAAATGAGGCTAAAAGAAAGTTATCATAAGTGTTCAATGAATTTACTGGTACAAGAGTATTCAGTGATTTTCATAAGCAACGTACCATAGAGTGAAGCATATGGCAAACCATGTTAATAGAATACGTAAGGGATGGGAGGTTCTTGTAGAGGCCGCCCTGCCTTGAACATCGTCTGATGTCATTCCATTGTTACGCCTCCACTATCGATGGTGCACTTGTTTTTGTTGACTTTCCACTTGAATACATGGTGTTTACCCGCTGCGGTTTCGTCTTAAGAAAATGTGTTCCAGCCCAGCGGATCGGCATGAACAAATCCCAGTAGCCAACGAAAAAGTCTAGCCCAGACAAGTGTCTCTAACCAGTTAGCGGTTGGACATGACTTTGTGAGAGGGAAATATTCAGTTAGGAATATGCCAGCGCCAGCTCAAAAGGAACTTTTGAGCTTTTCAAATGAAGAGTTTCACGTGTGCACTTTGAAATACCCTGGTGGAAGGTCAGCAAGTTGAGCTTTGAGTTAGTCGATTGCCTATCCTCCATATGCAATCAGCAAGACTACTAGGCCATGCCCTCTTTCTGATGGTCCATAGTCTTGGAGTAATGTTTCGTTTCTGTTGACAGATTGATCTACCTTCAATGTGCAGAACTTGTTTCCATACCAAGATCCGGCAACGATGCACGTACTGAGCGGTACAGAACAGCCAGAAGTGAGAGAGCGCAAACAAGCAGTGCGTTCTGCTATGGTTAGAGGTATGGCTCGCTGTGCGCAAGCGCGGGCGGATCTGACCAGGGAGGTCGTTCAGGTCGTGGTGAGCTTTTTAAAAACGGTTTGTTGCATGATGTAGGGGTCCATGCAAGGACCACACAGATGGGGTTCATTTTTGCTAAACGGTATTGGGAATGCCAAAAAAAGGTCGAAAAAATTCGAAAAGATGGGCGATTTGAACCACCTTATTCAGCTCCGTTCTAGCTGTATCGTTGAAGTGTACAGTTTAGGCTGCGTTTATACTTTGCGCAGCAGCGTAGCGTAGCGCTTCCAGCGTACGCCAGCGGCAGTGTCGGGGAAAGGATAGATATCGATCTAGCGTTCCCAGCGCCACCAGCGTACGCTAGCGTACGCTAGCGTACGCCAGCGTAGCGAGGGCACGGGATGTATAGGTATCGATCTAGCGCTACCAGCGTTTCACGAGCGTTTCACTAGCGTTTCGCTAGCGCTTGCAGCGGCAGGGCTAGAGAGTGTAGAAGAGTAGGAGAGTACAAAATACTCTCCTACTCTTCGATACTCTCTAGCGTAGGAGAGCATTTTGTACTCTCCTGCTCTTCTATACTCTCTAGCGCAGGTGAGCATTTTGTCTCTAGCGTAGGAGAGTATTTTGTACTCTCCTACTCTTCTATACTCTCTAGCGTAGGAGAGTATTCTGTACTCTCCTACTCTTCTATACTCTCTAGCCCCGCCGCTGCAAACGCTAGCGAAACGCTAGTGAAACGCTGGAAGCGCTACGCTACGCTGCCGCAAAGTATAAACGCAGCTTATGAGGTGGACTTTGCGTAGACATGACAAACAACGCAGAAGAAGTTCAAAATTCAAGTACTTTACCTGGCACAGTAGATTGAGAGTCCGTCGCACTATCCACTACACCATCCGTCCACTGCGACGGGTGAGATGCGGGAGCCATTGAAGAAGCATGCGGGGATGACGATGAAACTTCAATGTAGCTCACCACATGCCAGGTGAAGTACTTGGATTTTGACCTTCTTCTGCGTTGTTTTTCATGTCTACTCAAAGTTCACCTCATAAGCTATACACTCTCAACGATACAGCTAGAACGGAACTGAATAAAATGGTTCAAATCGCTCATTCTTTTCGAACTTTTTTCGCCTTTTTTCTTTTTTGGCATTCCCAGTACCGTTTAGCAAAGGTGAAGTCCATCCGTGTTGTCCTTCCAATACCCCTACATCATGCAACAAACCGTTTTTGAAAAGCTGAATGACCTCCCTTGTAAGAGCAGGACACCCGGGTAACTATCGTCCAGCCCGTTCCCCTACACATTTGACCGGAGAAAGAGCCACGCTACTGCAGGTGCAGTCCCACACACTCCAGATACGGCAAGGACTACGATCCACGGAGTAGAAGATACAGCTTGTCTTCAAGCTCTCATAGAGGTGAGGAAATGTTGAGAAAACTCCCCAGTAGTCCACATGATAAGCGTTTAAATTATGCGACTATTAACTGAGCGATCACTTTTTCAACTTAGCGGGATGGGTTAGTTTGGTGACTGAAAGCCAGAACAGGCGACTGGGAACCACTGAGCATACCGTTACCGCCTTTGGAGAGATTTTCAAACTATGTCCCTCCTCATTCCCCCCCCCCCGCCCTATCCCTAACAAGCTTCCCAACTGGAGAGGTGAATAGACTTCAGATAAGTTTCAAATACAGTAAAAAAAATGCGAAAAGGTTAGCTAACTGAATACGACCCTCCTCCACACCTCCATATCGATGACGTGCTCCTAGAACCATATTTCTCTGGCACAACACCGGACCTGCGAAATAAAGGACTCTCACGGAACCACACCGTTATCATCATAGACACTTGATAACGGTACTTGTTGCTCGGTTTACCTGGGTGTTGCCACGAGCTTCGGCTTTAGGTGGTCCATAAATAACATACTGCGTGGGCACAATTTAGCTCCTGAGATTACGACGCGTCCATATACCGTCCATTGTCTCTATTCGATTCACGTGTATACAGGTTCCTCTTCATGTACTCTATTAGCCTCCTAAGATATAAAGGGCAATTTGACCCACTTTCATACAAACCATGGTTAGTGCAAGTAATTATGTATGCATATCTGGCCACTAGTGAAGTTGCTAGGTTTACTCTAGTTTGCTGCGGAGGGTGGGCGTGTCAGGCAGTATGAGTGTGTCACCTCAAAGCCGTTCTCTGCCTTCCTGCGCGCATGCGACAAAAAGTGGTAGAAAACGAGTAATACACGATATGATACAGTCATATCATTTGCTCGCTTTAACAACTGGTGGAGAACGGGTTTGGCACCGCGCCAAACTCATCCCGCCTGACACGCCCATCTGTCCGCAGCGAACTACACGCCCGTCTGTCTGCAGCGAACTACATTAAATGTAAATGAAGAGAATTTTTCGCAAGAACTTCTTGTATCTTTTTTGAGTTTAGGATTTTTTGCAATGAACTTCTGGGCCTCTTGATGTCTTGTGCCACGTTCATGTCCCAGTGCGGCTCCGGGACAGCGCAATACTCAGGGCACGGTCCGCGATCAGGTGCAGAAGTTGAAAATATGGCGTCGGGAGGGTAATGTTTTCTGCGACGCACAACCTTGTACCGATTTCGCAGCAAAAATATTCTAAGGGCGCTATGGCGCAATATATGTTCGGTGACATCTTTTTCTCTCCAGTGACCCCGCCTCCAGACTACGCCTCCGAGACTCGCCTTTCAGTGAACAACGAAGCAGGAAAAGTTATTTGTACGGTCGTAATGTACTCGGGGAATCAGGTGTGCGGATGAGGGCGCAGTGAGATGGAGTTGGTTGGGCACGTACAAATTGGGATCAGAATGGGGTTCTATCTAGAGCAGTTAACATGTTTTTTTTCTACTTTATCTTTACTACCAAGTTGGTCAGAACCTTGTCGTCTATATGCAAACCCTTAATCCACTGTCGGCGAGCTTCGCCTTGAGGAGTAGAAACTGTTACCGTTGTAAGGACCAGGCTCACGCGTGCCATCTGAAAATGACATAAAGAGTAAACGGAGTTTTACAGCAGACTAGCAGTATACACTGCTCCTTATCTCCCGTACAAAAAATTCACAAAGACAGCGGTGCAGTACCTGGCAAGGTCATCCCACTTTGTGCAGGGTGTTCGAAAAAAAAGCGGCGAGGCGCTTGTCATGGCAGGTGTAAGGGCTCCATAATTCCCATCAAACATGCTCAAGTTTAAACTTTTCCTCAGTTTTCAAGAACTAGGAAGTTGCCTTCCAAAATTTGTGCCCCGTAGGTATGCTATTTCCGTAGAAGTGACGCAAGCGATTTTTGCCCACTGTACCACCTTATCAGTGCGAGCTTGAGGAAGATTTAGTGATCAGTGAGCAGGGCTATTTGCTGAAATCACAGTCCACTAGTCAAGAAACAAAATGATATCATGATAAGAGGATTATTTTTTTAGTGTTCTCCAAAAGAAAGGCTGCTTGCATTCATTGCCTCAACAGGAATCGAACGCACATCTCTCACTTTCTGACGGCAAGTGCTACCATTCCTTCACATAGTCCACATGTTGCATTCACCGCTTACTACTGACTTATTATTGTGCTCAGAAATTATTATATTTTTTGAGAAAATTCTCCACCTTTTCAGCCAAATAATTCTAATCTTGTGTTGCTGTTGCGGTGTAGCACGCCCTTTTGAGTGTGCAATTGAAACAAAAGCTGAGGAACGTTCGGCATAGATCAATCCCTTCTGGGGTGCGCCACGTATTCCACATTCATTCAAGATCCTAGTGATCTTGCGTGGGATATGGACCAATCTACCGGCTTTAGGGGAAGAAGGGTGCGATTATCCTTTGAGGAAGACGATCCAAGTATCGACCCTGTAGTGCGCCGTTTGTCGCGGACACGTTTTTGTGAGGAAAATAATTTGTGCAACGATATAATAATAACGATAAAATAATAAAAATAATAACAAATGTTTAATGCGTAGTCTAGCGATGCTTGCTGCTGAAATAAAAATGGAACATGAGTCGCATGAAAATCTCGCGCGCCACAATGTACACTCCTTATCCCTGAGCCAGAGTAGGCGTGGCATTCAATCATGGCACAGAACTGGTTACTCGTGATATATTCCAGTCCGAGACAATGTCATCTTTTCTGGTTAGACACAGAAGACGACACACAAGTTGTTTCAAGTGGCAAATAATCTCACCATGAAGCACAGCACACCTTTCAGGCATAGGTTGAAACAGGCGGCCACGCCTACCCGATCTCAGTGGTTTCGATTATATGTGTATACACTCTAGTTCGGTGCGGACGGTTGGGTGTGTCAGCCGGTATGAATGTGTCACCCGGTCAAGGCCGTCCTCTGCCTCCTTGTTGAAATGCACAAAAAGTGTTATAAAACGAGTAATACGAAGGATGTGATACACTATTATCCCTTATCCGCTTCAT